CAGGTGAGAGCAGGTGTGAGCAGGTGAGAGCAGGTGTGAGCAGGTGAAAGCAGGTGTGAGCAAGTGAGAGCAGGTGAGAGCAGGTGTGAGCAGGTGTGAGCAGGTGTGAGCAGGTGTGAACAGGTGAGAGCAGGTGTGAGCAACGACAGTCCCCCTGAGGATCCATCAACAAACACAACAGTTCTCTGAGTTTATTCAGGTTGAAAAACTTCCATTAATAAAAAGATGAGAGAGTGAAGCTCAGATGATTCATAAAACTGATTACAGGAGATCAAACAGCAGAGAAGACAGGAAGTGACTGATTCACACAGGAAGTGATTCAGTTCATACAGAGAAGCAGCAGGTCCACCAGAGTCCACATCTGAACCTGATCCAGAACTTCTCAGGAGTCATCAAACCCCCAACACCACAGGGAGTCAGTCTCTGAGGGTTCTGGATCAGGTTCAGACCTGCTGAGAGTCAGAGTGCTGGTTCAGATTCAGAGCAGTCCAGTCCAGAACTGGTCCTCAGGAAACAGGAAGCATTGTGTTACACCAGAACCAAGACCAGAACCTCCTGGATCCGTTTCAGTTTGTGGGAACAAGAATACGTCCTGGAAAACAAAAAGAACCAGTCAGTAAATGCAAAAATAAAAAAAGTAACTGATACTGGTCTGAAATTGCTTAAACTGGTTCAAACTGGTCTGAACTCATTAAAACTGGTCTGAACTGGTTACGGAAACTGGTCTGAACTGGTTTAAACTGGTTCAAACTTGTCTGAATCAATAAAACTGGTATGAACTGGTCAAGCTAGTAAAAACTGGTCTGATGTGGTTAACTGGTTTGAATTGATTAAACTGGTCTGAAGCCCATCTTTCAGACAACTGTATGAACATAATCATGCATTTCGGTACAATGATAATGAAGCTTATTCTGATTGAACTGTTTTAAACTGGGTTGAACTGGTTTAGGTCTGAACTGGGTGCAATTGGTTTGAACATATTCAAACTGAACTGGTTCAAACTGGTTCAAACTAGCTGGAACTGGTTCAAACTGGTCTCAAACATCAACATTTAGTAAGTCAGTACTTTTTCTAATTTCAAGAGACGAGGACACACTGGACAAATATTGTGACGTGTCCAAAATAACAGCTGGTTGGTTTTCAAGAGCAGAACCTGGTCCAGACTGGTCCAGACTGGTCCAGACTGGTCCACATCGAGGCAGTTTGAGACTAATGTCGCTTCTGAAACTCAAGTCCTGTTAAACTTCTGACTCTCAGTTAGTTTCCCTGCAGTGATCCAGTTTTTCCTGTGGAACAGATCAGACACAATTCAAATCTGATCTTCTCGTCATGGAGACAATCTGTTCTGATTTCTTTCTTTAGATCCATAAAACCTCCAAAGATAAAACAGACTGAAACCAGGACTTTATCTCCAGCAGCTGCTTCTCAAAGAGCTGGAATCATCCTGTCAATAATCAGGTCTTTAAAGGGTTCTCCAGAGACTTCCAGGTCCTGTTCAGCAACTGAAAACTGTTTCACACCTGGAACTACTTCAGTTTTACCAAGTTCATGAATATTTCGTCCACGCACTGAATATCCTGCGGTCGTCAAACCTTCCAGGACCAAAACTAAAGTCTGGCAGCTCTGGAAGAAAACTGAACGACACCAGAGGTGAAACTTCTGCACCGACCTGCTTGTCTATGAACGTTGTGCCTGAGCCAATGACATCAACGCTAAACTGAATCTAGACTGGTCTAGATCTGGTTCATGCTGGTCTAAACCAGTTTAGGATGAGTTCTAACTGGCTTCAGGGTTTGGGTTTGGGTCTGACCTCGAGCTTTCCTCTTGTAGTAGATGAGTCCAGCCAGAGACAAAACCAGACCCAGGATCAGACCTGAGGCTCCGATGGCGATCTTTTTTCTCTCTGGCTCAAACATGGACGTGTCTGAGGACAGACAGGTGAGAGTCAGACAGGTAAGAGACAGACAGGTGAGAGGACAGACAGGTGAGAGTCAGACAGGTAAGAGACAGACAGGTAAGAGACAGAAAGGTGAGAGGACAGACAGACAGACAGGTGAGAGTCAGACAGGTAAGAGACAGACAGGGGTAGAAAAAGGCAGGGGAGAGGACAGACAGACAGGTGAGAGTGAGACAGATTTACCCCAGTCTTTGATCAGAGGTTCACTCAGGCTCACGTGTTCCACCATACATGAGATCTTCTCTCCAGACCTGCAGGAACACAAACCAGCACCACTGAGTTACTGTAAACTGAACCAGAACCTCAGGTGAACTGGGTCCAGGTCTAAAACTGGTTTAGATTCCAACACAAACCACCATCAGTCAGAATCTCACAGATTACAGAGTCCCGAGTCAGACCTGACCCTTTTGGACCTGAACCAGGACCTGTCCTCACCTGGGCGTGTACTCCAGGTCAGACTGGACCTGGTAGTACCAGTCTCCATCCTGCATCTCGTCAGTGGTGGTGACATCAGAGGAGACTTCCTGTCCGTCTCTGAGCCAGCTCACTCTGATGGTCTTAGGGTAGAAGTCAAAGACTCTGCAGACCAGCACGGAGGGCTGATGAGAAGAAGACGGCTCCGTGGAGTGAAGTTTCACCGTCGGGGGGACTGGAACACAAAAGTCTGGATTTAACCAAGAAGAGGACCACGTGGAGGAAGCGCTGACTTTATTAGGAACGATGACATCATCACATCCTGTTTGTAACAGAAAGTCAGAGTTAGTCTTGAAGGTTAAGCTGCAGGGGTGAGTTCAGGGGAGGACACCTGTCTCCACCACAGACCTGCTCTGATGGTTGACAGCTGATGGAGCTCTGAGACGTTGCTCCAACTTCTAATTGATGTTACAGCTCAAATACATCACGTGGATCACTCTCAGCTACAAACAGACCGAGGACTGCAGCTGCTGCTACAAACGTCAGAGCACCGTGACAACGTTCAGTCTTTTCAGTCAGTCATGAAGGAAACTCAAACATCTCATCACACTCCAGACTTTATTTATTTAAGAAGATTATAACTGACAGAGAATGAAGAACTAAAAGAGAACTTGACACTCCTGCTGTCCCATGATCAGCTGATGAACTCCTGGACAGGAACTGTCTCGGTCCTCAAGTCCAGACACTCCTGAACCAGAGACATCATCAGAAGCTAACAGTACCGTCTCTCAGAGGTCCAACGTCCTCTTGTCACATGAAAGATTTATAAATCAGGTCCCAGAGTCTGGAGGACGAGTGGAGAGGTCCAGAATCCACAAAGTCCAGAGAGAAGTTTCCACAGTCCACGATGGTTTGGGTCCATGTCCTCTGCTGGTGCTGGTCCACTGGGTTCTCTGAAGTCCACAGTCCACATCTAGCAGGACACTGTCCATCAGGACTTGACTCGGGCCCACACTGACAAAGGTACCAGCAGCTGGTTCTGGAAGATTCTGTTTG